CCTGTACAAGCAGCAACTGCTAGCTGGGGAAATCCAGCAGCTTTGGAAGGCAGCCCAAAGCCTGAACTGCGGCGGTGAATAAAGTGTAGGGGATGCCAGGGCTTTTGGGCAGGCCTCCGGCATGAGGGTGAGCCCTGGGGTCAGCGAGTAAAGCTACAACACGGTCAGAAAACTTCCCTGCGTCCTTTTTTCTTTTTTCTTTTTCCAGATGAAAATCGCCCATTACATGGCTCAGGGATTTTGTGTGAAGCTGTGACAATAAGTAGCTGAACAAACTTCACAAGACTCTGGGTGCGGGGGCTCGGCAACAAATGCCAAAGCACAAAAAAGAAAGCTGGAGCTCTCGGCAAGCTCTAGCCCGGCCGTAGGAGGAGATAATCTCATTTCTTTGCTCTTTGCCCTTTTAGCTATTCACAGATCCTAATGCCGAGTTATTCCCAACAATGAGCAGAAGAATCAAACTCCCATCTGGCCTGCTCAGGCAGATGCAATACTTGCCTTTCAGTCACAGGCACACCAGGCTGTGATTTTTTTGCTCATCTTGAATATATACTATTTACTCCCACCCATAACAGGGCAAGTATTTACACTTGGTAACAGAAACTGTAGCTGAAGCTCACCAGCCTGCTCTAATCTGATCACCTAAATCCCTGGCCACAGCGAAACACAGGCGCCGCGAGCGCAGCTGGTGCTTTGGGTCTCCCTCTACCCAACATGATGCACAGCCTACCAGCTAATGAGCTGGTTTTCCTGGGAGGGCACCCTTCTCCCCTTTCTGCCCTCCTGCATACTCAAATGCAGGCCCCAAACTGCAGCCAAGCGAGAGAAATGTCTTCCCTCCCCGACTTTGAAGTCAGCTGCACGTTGCTCTTTGCAGTAGCCAGAGACCCACAGCATCACTGGGCTGCAGCAGCAGCACTTGCTGCTACCACCCCTCTCCTGGCCTGGGAATAGGGATTATAGCTGATCAAGTAGTGGGAGCCAGGAAAAAATAAAAAAAAGGGAAAAAAAAAAAAAAGAGGACATCTTTTGTTGTTAACACCATTCTGTCCTCTAATCTACTTATGGCCTGGTCTTACGTTTTCGTTAAGCATTCAGCTGCAGGGGAGGAATACAAAGGGATGGATGGATGTTTGTGTAGGTATAGATGTTTTTGTGTGCAAATTGCATTTTGAGATGTGTATATATATACACACACACAAGAACACTGGTTGTATTAAAAGTCAACAGAGAGTATCTCTCTAGAGTAGTGAAGCTAGCATTTCCCCTCTAACATTCAAAATGAATCTCAGTAACCTGGTTTTAGCTGTCAGAAGTTCTCCTGACAACTTCAGGACCGCTGGGAAGGAGAGCCTGGCACCCTGTGCTAGCGGCATCCTGGCAA